CCCTTCCCTCTCCCCTTCCCTCTCCCCTTTCCCTCTCCCCTTCCCTCTTCCCCTTCCCTCTTCCCCTTCCCTCTTCCCCTTCCCTCTTCCCTTCCCTCTCCCCTTCCCTCTCCCCTTCCCTCTCCCCTTCCCTCTTCCCCTTCCCTCTCCCCTTCCTTCTTCCTTTCCCCTCTCCCCTTCCCTCTTCCCTTCCCTCTCCCCTCCTTCTTCCCTTCCCTCTTCCCTCTCTCCCCTCCTGTCTCCCCTCACCCAGTGTTTATGACCAGAACCCCCCCCAGCATCACCCCTGCAGGCACCTCCCTGCGTGCCTGGGGACCAGCCCACGAGCCTCCATCTCTTCTCTCCCCCAGAACACGCTCTCCTCAGGAAGTGGCTGCTGCTCTCTGACCCAGAGGACTTCTCAGCAGGGGCCAAGGGCTACCTGAAAGTCAGTCTCTTTGTGCTGGGGCCTGGAGATGAAGCTCCTGTGAGTATTGCCATGATGTGGGCACCTTCCAACCTTGGCACTCCACTGCTCTGGGCCATGAACCCCCACACAGCTCCCAGGGAAGCTGCAGCTTTGGTCTTTCTCTCTCTTTTTGGGGCAAGGTGCTGGATTGGGGGGTGGGGTTTGCTGCTCATTTCAGGACTTTTGGGAAGCTTGGTGGTGTTTCCAGGTTGGATGGAGCTTTGAACGACCTGACCTAGTGGGAGGTGTCCCCTGTCTGTTGCAGAGGGGTTGGAACCTGATGATGTTTAAGGTCCAAACCAGTCTGGGATCCAGTGATTCCTCTTGTCCCGTTTTCCTGCAGCTGGAGAAGAAGGAGGTGTCTGAGGACAAGGAGGACATCGAGGGCAACCTCCTGCGCCCCACGGGGGTCACCCTGCGAGGGGCTCATTTCTGCCTGAAAATCTTCAAAGCTGAAGACCTGCCCCAGAGTAAGTGGTTCCTTTGCTGGGCTGGGCCACGAGTTGCAATGGTGCTGGAGAGGAAGGGGGACACCGAGATGTGCTGGGGGATGTCTCTCTTACTGGTGCAGACTGGCTGAAACCCTCCTGCCCATCTCCACCTGGCTCTCTGGGGCCACCTGGACACCAGGTTCTTCCAGGAGCTTTCAGCACCTCCTTCCTCTTGCAGTGGATGATGCTGTCATGGACAATGTCAGGCAGATCTTTGGCTTTGAGAGCAACAAGAAGAACCTGGTGGATCCCTTCGTGGAAGTCAGCTTTGCGGGCAAGACGGTGGGTGGCTGGAGCAGGGCAGCCCCCCCGGGCCCCCCAGGGCTGGGGTGAGGGAGCTGCCCTGGGATAATCTGGTCCTGGCATGGGGAAAAATGGGGCCTTTTCTTCCCTGGAGAAGAGAAGGCTCCAGGGAGACCTGAGAGCAGCTTCCAGTGCATGAAGGGGCTCCAGGAAAGCTGGGGAGGGGCTTGGGACAAGGGCAGGGAGGGATGGGAGCAGGGGGAAGGGTTTCCAGCTGGCAGAGGGAGCTGGAGCTGAGATGGGAGGGAGAAATTCTGGGCTGTGAGGGTGGGGAGAGCCTGGCCCAGGTTGCCCAGGGAAGCTGTGGCTGCCCCATCCCTGGGGGTGTTGAAGGGCAGGTTGGATGGGGCTTGGAGCAGCCTGGGCTGGTGGGGGGTGTCCCTGCCCATGCAGGGGTGGGACTGGATCAGTTTTGAGGTCCCACCCGACCCATCCTGTCATGCTGTGGTTTGCAATGGCCCGTCAGTCCCTTGTCACCCCCTGTCCTCCCCCTCTGCTTTGCAATGTCCCAGAGCAAGGGGCTCAGAGCAGCCCAGCCCTGTCCCCATGGGGGTGGGGATGTGAGCTCTGGGGTGGTGGGGACAGAGCAGCCACCCAGGGTTGTGCTGCTCCTCTTGGCCCTGCCTGGGGTGAGCAGCTGGCTGTCCCCACACCACCCAGTGTCCCCCCAGGACTAGCCAGGGTGTGGAGGTGGCTCTGGTGGCTTTGAAGAGCCCTGTCCTGCCTCCCTTCGCTTCCCAGTCCCTTCCAGTCCCACTGGCAAGTGATGTGCCCATGAGCTGCCACTCATCTTCTGGTGCCCAGTGGCACTGAAAGGGCTGCCCATAAACCTTCCTCTGGGGACACTGCCCAGGGGGGGAAAAGAAGCTGGGGACGTTATCCTGAGGGCAGGGAAGGGGCTGGAGCACAAGGGTGAGCAGGAGCAGCTGAGGGAGCTGGGGGTGTCCAGCCTGGAGCAAAGGAGCTGAGGGGAGACCTGCTGGCTCTGCAGCTGCTGAGAGGAGGTTGGAGCCAGGGGGGTCGGGCTCTGCTCCCCAGGAACAAGCCCTGGGACAAGAGGGAACGGCCTCAAGTTGTGCCAGGGGAGGTGGAGGTTGGATCTGGGGAACAATTCCTGCCTGGCAAGGGGTGTCAGGGCCTGGCCCAGGCTGCCCAGGGCAGGGGGGGAGTCCCCATCCCTGGAGGGGTTTCCAAGCCCTGCAGATGGTGCTGAGGGACGTGGGGCAGTGGGGACTGGGCAGGGCTGGGGGAACGGGTGGGCTGGAGGGTCTCCCATGTTATTTTCCAACCAGTACAGCTCCATGGTCCTGAGCAACCACAGCAGGAAGGGGGTGACTCTCTGGTGGTCCTGGGGGAAGGGGGCTGAGGTCCCTGAGCAGCCCTTGGCATCCTCTGCCTCCCTGCACAGGGGGCTTTGCCCACGTGGTGCCGGGCCCCCCCGGACCCCCCAGGGAAGGGGACTCTGTGATTTGGGGCCTCTGGCTCTGACTTTTCATCCCCCCCCCATCTGGCACCTCCAGCTCTACTCCAAGATCCTGGAGAAGAACGCCAACCCCCAGTGGAACCAGTGCCTGACGCTGCCAGCAATGGTGAGCAGGGACCCCCCCCCCCGGGGGCCCCCGCCCCTAAACCAATCCCACCCCCACTCACCCCTCCTGTTTCCCCAGCTGGAGGGGTGGGTATGGGCAGGGGGAGACCCCCAGGGCCACCCCCTCAGCTCCGTGGGGTGATGGGGGTTGTGTTGCAGGGACCGTATGACACACAACGACGTCGTGGGCACCGCCAACCTCTGCATGTCCAAGATCTCAGCCCCGGGAGGGGAGCTGGAGGGTGAGGGGGGCACAGCAGGGTGGGCTCTGGGCTGCCTGGCCACTTGGGAGCTCTGCATGCTCTGGGGTTGGCTTGGAGGATGTCACTGGCCCACCCTGGGCCCTGCCAAAGCACCAGTGCACGGGGGCACACGTGGGGTGGTTGCTCTGTCCTGTTTTCTGGTCGGACCTGTGCCCTCCTGGTTTGTGGTGTGGGAGATCTGCAGGTCTTCCCAAAGGGGGTTGGGGTGGGAGGGCTGCAGGCCGTGGTGTGCTGGAGGTTTTGCTTCCTCTCTTCCTGGTGGAGTGGAGGTGGCTGTGGTCCCCTGTGGGGTTGGTGACGGGCCGCGGTGTCACCGGTGCTGGAAGATGCCACATCCCACCTGCCTGTGTGTCCCCACTGCTGGCTCCTCAGGTGACATTTAGGGGCTGTCAGCAGGGAGGGATGGGGGTTCAGGTCCAGCTTGTTGCTGAGGGTGCTCTGTCGAGTCCCAGGGGCTTTCCAAACCACCGTGGAGGTGCTAACAGGGGCTGGTTGGGTGACACTGCCTGTGTCACCTGTGCAAAGCAGGAGGGCAGGGAGCTCAGACAGGCTCGTGGGGCAGGGCCAGGAGCAGAGTCTTCCCTCACCTGCATGAGCATCTCCTGCTGCTAACGAGCTTTGGTGGCATCTGCACCCCCATCGGACCTCCCCTCACCCTGCTCCCTTGGCTTGGGGCCCCTCTGAGGCTCCCAGGGGCCCTGCAACTCCCCACCCCATAGTGCCCATCCCCACCTAGGGATGCAGGGCTGGCAGCAGCCCCCAGGACATCACCTTGGTAGGAAGCTGCATCCACGTGTCCCATAGCCCATGTCCCCCCCCGGTGCTGCCTGGCCTTGCATGCAGGTGTGGGGTTGGGGTGCAGCTCTGTTCTCCAGCAGGGTGCTCGTGTATCCAGCTCCCATCTTTCCCAGTTAAAGCAGCAGCTCCTGGGCTGGTCTGGAGAGAGAGAGAGAGAGGCTGGGGAAGGGGGAGGCTGTGAAGGGTCTGCCCAGGACTGGCCCACCCCACCACTGAGAACTTCTTGACCCTGAGGAGCTGCCTGGGGAACTGAACTCAGCCCCCCATGGGCCCATCCAGCTTCTGCAACATGCAGAGCTTCCTGCAGGGACTCTCAAACCCTCCCATTTCAGACCAGTCCCACGGCCCTGGGGAGGACAGTTGGGCTGTTTAGAATCACTGAATCATTTAGGTTGGAAAAGCCCTTTGAGATCATCACGTCCAACCCTTCCCCCAGCCCTGCCAAGGCCACCACTAACCCATGTCCCTCAGCACCACATCCACATGGCTTTGGGATCCCTGCAGGGCTGGGGGCTCCACAGCTCCCTCCTCTCCTAAACCTAAACCTCCTCTCTCCTAAACCTCCCTCTCTCTCTGTCTCTCCAGCACCCGTTGCCCCATGAGAGCCTCCACCCCCCTTTCCATACCCCTCCACCCATCTCCTCTGCCCACCTTCCCTAACCTCTCTCCATCTCTTTGTGCCTCAGATGAGTTTCCTGCTCTGGCCAAGCCTCTGAAACCCGCAGACCGTACGTCCCCTCAGCCCCTGGGTTCCCATCACTGCTCAGCAATGGTTGGGCCAGTTCAGGCTCCTGCTGCCAGGGCTGGAGCACCAGCCTGGAGCTGGGGGAGCACCAGCTGGGTCACACCTTGGTGGGAAGAGGGGATGGCTCCAGCAGGGTGGGAACTGGGGGAAGGCCTCCACTGCCTTCCCCGTGGTGGGTTTGGGGTGTCCAGGTTGGGCAGTCATGTCTTTGTGGTTTAGGGCATGTTTTGTGCTGAGGCAGCTCCACAGGGAGCAGGTGGTTCAGGAGCTCAGATCCTCCAAACCCTTTCTGCCTCTTCACTGCTCCTTCTGCTTGAGGCTTCATAAACATTTGGGCTTTGACCAACCTTGGTCTAGTGGGAGGTGTTCCTGCCCATGCAGAGGGGTTGGAACTAGATGATTTTTAAGGTCCCTTCCAACCCAAAACCATTAGATGATGATGATGAGACCTCATAGCAGCCTTCCAATACCTAGAGGGGGCCTACAGGAAAGTTTGGGAGAGGCTTTTTACAAGGACTTGTAGTGAGAGGACAAGGGGGAATGGATTAAAACTGGAAGAGGGGAGATTTAGGTGAGACATGAGGAGGAAATTCTGTGCTGTGAGGGTGGGGAGAGCCTGGCCCAGGTTGCCCAGGGAAGCTGTGGCTGCCCCATCCCTGGCAGTGTTGAAGGGCAGGTTGGATGGGGCTTGGAGCAGCCTGGGCTGGTGGGAGGTGTCCCTGCCCATGCAGGGGGGTTGGAACTGGATGTAGTTTGAGCTCCTTTCCAACACAAACCAGTCTGGGTTTCTATAATGTGATTCTATGATGATGATGATGAAAAATGAGCCGTTCTCTTCTGACCACCCTGAGAGGAGCTCTGGGGCAGCCCCTTGGCTGGTGTCAATCCCCTCTGCTGGTTCACACCAGCAAAGTGATGTTCTCCTCCTTCCCGGGGCTGGGAAGCTCTGTGACCCCCACACAGCCCCCCACTCACCCTGTCTTTCTCCTGCACGAAGGTGAGTGGCCGTAGGGCTCAAAGGGGGGTGAAAACCTGCAGCATTTTGGTGGCCTCCAGCCACGTGTGGTCCTGCAGCGATGCCTGGTGGGACACATCCCCAGGGTGCCTCTGAGACCCTCTAATGGCTCTTGTTCCCCAGTGGACGACGGGCTGGGGTTCCTGCCAACTTTTGGTCCCTGCTACATCAACCTCTACGGCAGCCCCCGGGAGTTCACCGGCTTCCCTGACCCCTACGAGACGCTCAACTTAGGAAAGGTGACCTCAGCTTCTTCCCAGCTTGACCTGAACCAAACTACCAGCCCTCCTTGCCAAAAAAAACCCACCCAAGCTGCTATTAACCCAAACTGGCTTTGTTGTCAGGAGCCTGTTGCCACGTTGCCTGCCCCTGGCTCTTCCTGCTGGTCCTGCTGGCTCTGCCTCTGAAGCTCTTGCAGAAATCCTTTGCCTGGCCTTGCTCTTCTGCCATGGAGCTTGTGGGAAGCAAAGGCAGAGCCACATCCAGGCTCCTGACCCCTGTCCCTGCTCTACCCCAAGGGCGAGGGAGTGGCGTACCGAGGCAGGATGCTGGTGGAACTGGAGACCAAGCTGGTGGAGCACGTGGAGCAGAAGGTGGAGGACATTTCCGCCGATGACATCCTGAGGGTGGAGGTAATGGGGGGGTCCTCCGTGGGGAGCCCAGCCCTGTGGTTGGCTCCTTGATGGCCAGGCATGTGGGAATGGACAAGGGGGTTGTTGGTGGTGGGTGCCTCCTGCTTGTGTTTCCACCCCAAAGTGTCCAGGCTGCTTCGTCTGAGCTGCTGCGTGGTGGGCAGCAGACCATGGCCAACGTGGAATGGGGGAGGATTTATGCCCACAGGTTCCCCCATCCCACCTCCAGCACGTTTGCAGACCTGCCCCTTTTGCTCATTTCTTGAGGTTGAACCAGCCTTTGTGATGGGAAGTTCCAGCCTTCTCCTTTGTCAAGTTTCCCCCAAACATCTCGCCCGCAGTTCCTTCCCTGCAACTTCTGCCACAAACTTCTCCACCTGGGAGGCCTCAGTGCTCTGGTGTGGGCTGGGGTAGGGCAGGGTCACAGGATGGTCAGGGTTGGAAGGGACCTTGAAAGATCACCTAGTCCAACCCGCCCTGCCAGAGCAGGATCCCCAGAGTAGCTCCCACAGGAACATGTTTAGGTGGGTTTCTCCAGGGAAGGAGACTCCACAGCCTCTCTGGGCAGCCTGGCCCAGGGCTCTGTCACTCCCACAGTGAAAAAGGTTTTTCTAATGTTTATGTGGAACCTCCTGTGCTCCAGTTTGCACCCATTGCCCCCTGTCCTGGGCATCCCTGAGAAGAGCCTGGCTCTGTCCTCCTGACACCCACCCTTAACTGCTGAGACCACCCCTCAGCCTCCTCTTCTCCAAGCCCAACAAGACCCATCTCCCTCAGCCTTCCCTCATCAGGGAGATGTTCCCCTCCCTCCATCATCTCTGTGCTGGCCTCTCCCAAGCAGTTCCCAGTCCTTTGGGAACTGAGGGCCCCGGGCTGGCTCCAGGTGCAGGGGAGGTGTTGCCTCCCCCACGGACGCGCTGCCCTTCCTGCCGCAGAAGTTCCTGCGCCGTCGGAAATACTCCCTGTTTGCTGCCTTCTACTCGGCCACCATGCTGCAGGGGGTGGATGGGGCCATCCAGTTCGAGGTCAGCGTCGGCAACTACGGCAATAAGTTTGACACCACCTGCCTGCCCTTGGCCTCCACCACCCAGTACAGCCGGGCTGTGTTCGACGGTGAGCGACGCGGGGGCGGCGGCGGCGGCGGCGGGGCAGGGTGCCCAACGTGGGGCTGGAGGCTCCATCCTTGGAGATGCTCAGAACCCAACGGAATATGGGGCTGGATGACCTGCTCGAGGTGACCCTGCTTGAGCAGGGGTTGGGCCAGATGATTTCCAGAGGTCCTTGCCCACCTCTGCCGTGTTGTGAAGGGGGGAATCTGGGGTTGGGGGAGCCAGGGCTGCTCCTTCCAGCTCTGGCTGCTGCTTCCAGCTCTGTGCTGGCCTGGTGAGGTTTTTAGGCAGCACCTTGGTGCTCACTTTTCTTCAAGCAAGAAAGTGTTTTGGGGTGGCCTTTCCCTGGCTTGCATGGGGCTCTGTGCTCTGAGATGTCCTCACCCCCACTGGGCTGTTCCACTGGTTTCTGCCCCCAGTGCTGCAGCCTTGGAGGTTGACACAGGTCCCTTTGGCCCTTGGTGTGTGTTGCTCTGTTGCACAAGGGTTTGGGGAGCACAGTCCTCAACCTCCTGCTCCAAAAGAGCCACACGATGGGTTCCTGCCCAAGGCTGCACTGCCCACCTGTACCTCCATCCTGGTCCTGAGGAGCGGGGTCCCCTGTCACCCCAGTGTCACCAGCGTGCTGTCCCCTCCAGGCTGTCACTATTACTACCTGCCCTGGGGCAACGTGAAGCCCGTGGTGGTGCTGTCATCCTACTGGGAGGACATCAGCTATAGGACTGATGCTCAGAACCTTCTCCACCACGCAGCAGACAGGCTGGTGAGTGCAGGGGGGGTGAGGAGCACTGTCCTCCTCCTTTCTGCATCCCCCTGGGGGGCACAGGGAGGGGATGGAGGCCATTTCTAGGTGGGTTCAGGTTTGGGGTTTGATGACTCTTGTGCTGGGGAGGGGGGAATCTGTCAGTGTCCCAGGTGTCCCTCTCGTGGGGGACATGGAGTGAAGGAGGAGAAGGGACCACCCTTATCCCCACTGGAGTGATGGTGGGGTGTGAATGGGAGTGCTTTGCTGTGCCCCCACCTGCCTGCTGCCACAGGAGGCAGGGATCACCCTTCATCTCCTGACCTATTGATGGGATCTGTTGCTGTGTTTCACTGTCATTTCCCCCTGACCTCCAACCAGAGCAAAGCCAGGGGTGCAGGGCCCTGGTGGGACCCAGGCTGGAGTTCCTGACCATGAAGGTCCCCACTGTGCACCTCCTCTTCCCCCCCTGTCCTGCAGGAAGCAAACCTGGAGAAGATCCACCTTGCTCTCAAGGCCAAGCACTCGCCCAGAGAGCTGGATGCTCTGGCTGCCCAGCTGATGGATGATGTCATTGCTGACTGCAGGTATTTTCTGCCCGTTTTGGCTGAGCCTTTTCATGCCCTTTGTTGTTTCTCAGTGATTTTTTTTTGGAAGGGACAACAGCCTTTTGAAGTTCTTTCCCCTGGAAAACTCCCACCATCACGTTGGCTCCAGAGGCTGCTGAGCCAGGTGTCCTGGTTTGAGCCCAGGCACGGGGCTGGAAGGGGGACATTTAAGGCACAAATTTCCAGGTTTGGAGCAAGGGCTGCAGTGTGGGTCACCTGAGTGAGCAGCACTGTGTGGGGACAGGAGCTGGAGCCAGCCTGGCCAGAGGGACAGTGTGAGCTCCTGGAGTGAGGAGCCACTGATGGGGCTTCCTGGTGGAGCCTTGAGTGTGCCACGTGGGAATCATGGGGTTGCTTTGGTTGGAAAAGACCTTTAAGATCATCAAGTCCAGCCATTCCCCCAGCCCTGCCCAGTCACCACTGCCCTGTGTCCCTCAGCACCATCTCCAGGGCTTGGAAACCCCTCCAGGGATGGGGACTCCCCCCCTGCCCTGGGCAGCCTGGGCCAGGCCCTGACAACCCTTGCCAAGCAGAAATTGTTCCCCAGATCCAACCTCAGCCTCCCCTGGGCAACTTGAGACTGTTTCCTCTTGTCCCATCACTTGTCATTGGGGAGCAGAGCCCAACATCCAGCACTGCCAAGTCCACCACTAAACCATGTTCCTGAACACCACGTCCACACGTGGATGGAGGGTACCTGGAGGGTTTGCTTGGCTGTGCTGGGGTGTTGTGTGCCCCACAGCTGGACCATCTCAAGTGTCTGAATGTTCCTTCAAGGGAGGGTTCCTGGGCTTCCCCTCTGTGTAGCCTGTTTTTTGGGGGGCTGGATTGTGCATGGTGGGAGTGGGGAGCTGCTCTGGGAAACATCACTGCTGCATGACCAAGGTGTCTTGTCCCAAGGACAGCTCAGCCCTTGGGAAGGTGTTTCAGGGACTGACCTCACCAGGGTCTTTGGACTGTGGTTTCCCTTCAGAGATCATGATCTCCAAGTCCTGCTCTAAGCCCATGCCTGACCACACCACCCCCCTGCAGTAGCTCTTGCCACTTCTTTGGGCAATAGCAGGATCTTTGATGTGTTTTTAGCCCTGACAAGCCCTGGCCAAGGAGAGAACTGAGAGAGCTGCTCTGCCTCTTGGAGCTTCCTTGCCTTGGGGGGCAGGTGGGGAGCAGCTGAGCTGCCCCTTCCCACACCTTCTTCACACATGTCCTCCTTTTTGCCCAGTTTGATAGTTTATTACATTCATTTAGATTCCAGTGAGTGTACGTAGAGTGGTTCCCCCCCACTTTTTCCCCCCCTGGTTCTGCAAGGATATTTTAAGACCCCCTAGTTTCTGCCACAAGGTGGTGTTTGCTGGGTGGCTGAGCCCTGTCCTTCCCTGGCACCAGTGACTGCTCCAGGTGAGGGGGAGCTCAGCTCCTCAGCAGCCCCCTCCTCATAAACACACAAACGAAGCGTGGAGGAAAATATCAGAGTTCCCAGCCCAACTGTGGGCCCCAACACAGGCTTTTAATTTAGCTCCTGAGTTGATGCTGCTTAACGATGGGGCTAATGAGCCCCCAGAGCTGCAGCTGCCTTGGGAAGAAGCAGCAAAGCCAGTGGGAGGAAGCAAAGAGCTCAGTTTCCCCCTAAATGTCTCGTTGACCTGAGACAAGGGGCACAAACCCCCCTCCCCGGGAGGTGCCAGGGTGGGCACCTGCCCATGGCCTGTCTCCACGAGCAGAGCTGGGCAGGAGATGTTCTCCTTCTTTATTGGGCACTGAAAATGGGGATTCTGGAGCCAAATCCCAGCCCAGGAGTCGGGCAGTGGGAGCAAGAAGAGCAGCAAGAACAGCAGCTCCGTAACTCTCTGCAGTTTCTAGCAAAGCCTCTGAACGGCTCCACGCAGCAAAGACCCTCCTGCACTCTTGACGTGCTTGTCCAGCAGCTTGAAGCAATTTATGTTAAGCATGTCTGAGGGGGTGCAGTGCTCAGCCAGGGCCCCAGCCTGGCTCCTCTGGGTGGTTCGTGGGGGCTGCAAGGGGGTTTGAAGCTCCTTCACATCGCCCTGTTCCCCAGACGTAGCCTCGGTGGCCTGTTCATTCCTTGGAAACCTGCTGAGAAGGAGGAAAAGAAATGAAAAACAAAAAAAGACAGTGGAACTGCAGGAGAGGGTGGGTGAGATGCTCACACTGTGTCTCTGCCTGTCCCCACAGCCTCTCCCTGCCTGATGTCCTGGGGAAGCCAGCCAGCACCCACCTGGACCAGAACATGTACCGGTTCCGCAGCACCAACCTGGAGCAGATAGTGAAGGCAGCCCTGAAGCTCAAGCACGAAGACTCGAGCCTCTCAGCAGCCCTGGAACAGGCAGAGGACTGGCTGTCCAGGCTGAGGGCCATGGCAGAGGAGGTAACACTGAAGGAAGGGGCTCGTTCTTCCCAAGTGCTCCCATCATGGTGCTGTTTCGTGAGCAGTCACCCTGGGGCGTGGTGGGATGCAGAGATGCTGCTGCTCCTGCAGAGCCCTGCCCCCCTGGGCAAGGGCTGCCCCTGCATCCCACCACCGTGGTGAGAACTGGGGTAGGAAGGCACCAGTTTTGGCACCCAACTGTTTACCTTGAGCTTTGCTGATGGCAGAGCTTTGCTGCCCAGTAAAACCTCAACCAAAGCTGCTCCAGTGACCTGGGCTGGCTGTGGAGGGCAGGGCTGGGGGGAACGTGGGGCTGCTCTGCCCTGGCCAGACCCAGGTGGGATCTGAAGCTGCTGAGATTGGGGTTGGGTTCACTGGTCTCACTCCACAGGCAGCCAGATCCCCCAGTGGGATCCAGATCTGCTGAGATGGGGTTTGGACCAACTGCTCTTGCTCCATGGGCTTGTGTTCGCAGTGGGACTCAGGCCATGGCTACTCTTCAGCTCCCCACCATGTCCCTCCACAGCTGATGTGCTAGTTCAGAGCCCTCTGCTAGGACCACCTGTGTGTTTTCCAGCCCCAGAACAGCCTGCCCGACATCGTGATCTGGATGCTGCAGGGGGACAAGCGCGTGGCGTTCGCCCGCGTGCCCGCCCACGAGGTCCTCTTCTCCAGGAACATCCCTGACTGCTGTGGCAAGAACTGTGGGAAGCTGCAGACCATCTTCCTGAAGGTACCTTGGCTTTTGGTCTCCATGCATTTTCCCCTAAAATATACACATATATATATATAAATATGTATATATAGAGAGAGAAAATCAAGTGGGAGAACCTGAAATCCCAGCACAACGTTACCCCATCAGCACCAGGGGCTCTGGGGACCTCCAGCCCCAGTTTTGACCCTCCTGAAGCTGATTCCTACGTGGTGAAAACCTGGTTGTGCTTCTGGTGGAGTTCAGCTCCTCTCACACAGCTCTGCAGCAGATCCCTGTGAGCACCTTCCTGGTACCTGCAGGCTCCAGGGCAGAGGAGATGTGCTCCCTGTAGCCCCCATGGGGCTTCTTTTTTTTTTTTTAAAAAAAGAAAAGTATAATATTTTACTAATTGTTCGATGTTTTTATAATGTTCTTCAAAATTCCTGACCCTCTGCCACCCCAGGAAATTGAAGCTGCAGCCTCCTCTGCCAGGCCCATCTCCTTGCAGCTGAGAGGAGCTT